CTTCATGGTTTTGAATATGATATAATCACACTAGTGTTAGCAAAAACAATTTTCTTTTATTTACACGAGTTTGAGCCTGGACTTAGCTTATCTGATGAGTATCTTAAAGTGTTAATAAAGCAGTGGTTGATCTATGACGCAGACTCGTCTCTCAAACGCTCTGCCAAAAATGCTATTTTAAACTAAAACACATGCTGTGTTCACGGTCGACAGTTGGGAAATTAATTGCAATTATCATAATTTGTTTCATATTAACATCTATGTTTTTTGRTAAGAACTCTAGTAATCAGAAGTCTTTTTATCATGTTTATATTTAAACTGYCTGTTCAAAACACCGACACTTGGTACTAAAAACAACCATCATACATAATATGATGTAATTATTATTTCAATTGTGTTTTAAATTTGAAAAATGCTCCAATATGATGTAGCACATAAGCATAGTAAACTAATTACGTCATAAAAATTGTGCAAACATTATTAATTTATTACAATATATTTGAATATTTATATTTCTTATCTTACAGTAGGAGGAAGTTCATAGTGTTATCACGCGTGCAGATTTAAGAAAATCATCTGTTGCACAAGACAAATATTGAGTTTGAGCTTATATCATTTTTTTCTTAGACGATAAATAAAATGACATTGCTATTAATCAAACCGCATGTTCAGCTGAGTGGTCACGAATAAAACACTTTAAAAATTTTTAAATGTTTTTATTAAGTTAACATAAAATAAATTTTAGTCTTTATAGCTTCACAGWCTTTTTGAAGGTCACTCCAAGGCTTTTAGGTCAGTGTTTGGTAACAACATTGCAACGAAAGCACACACTAAATCAAATATTTGTAAAAATAAAAGTAACATTTGTGATAAACCTACCAAAAGTTATAGAACCGATTGTGAAGAACGGAGGCGCACATCCTGTTTGGAGTAACAAGGGAAAAATTAAATTCCCAATCATTGCCCCACTTCGAGCCAACATCATTGATAACGATACTGTCATCGTTCTAAAATAGTTTAGTTTATAGGAAATGAAAGTGTTCACATTTATTTTTACCTTAAAGTAGTGGGAAATAAGTCAATGCAAACTGTTAGGACAACATTTGAGGCAATACTTGATGACGCTGTAAAGATTGAAGCAAATGCTACTGTCATTGCTGTATTTGTGGAAAAATAAATTGAAAATGCACAGGACCCTCCCAATAAACCCAAAATACCTAATACTTTTTATAAAAAAAATTGATTATGTATTTTGTTACTCACTCATTAGTTTTTTCTTGCCTAGAATATTGATAAAATAACCGGCAAAGATGTAACTAGTAGCACTGACAGAAGAAATAATTATGGTGTTAACATAAACTGAGGAATTGTTGAGATTCTGGAAAAAAAAATTACTTCAAATATTTCCATTTYGGTTACCTACTTACAACAGCGCATTCCCCTAAAGTACTTGCTGGCTGAATCATTTCTAACATTTCACAAAGATCAGCATTAGAGTCGTTGTGGTGGTAGTATTTGTAGTCATTGATGGCTTGAAAAATTTGCGGTAACCAAAGTCTCAAAGTATTTAAACTCATCGTAAATAATGTTTGAAGGAGACATACGAGGACGATGTTTGGTAAATGTGGTGGAAAAAACAAGGGTTTTAATTGTTGCCACCCYTCTTTGAGAGCTTGAATTTTAGTCCTATTAGCWGTYACTTGAGTGGTGTGCTTGTCTTGACAGTTTTTYTTCAGTTCAATTTCGTCAACTAGTTGTTTTATCTAAAATTGTTTGTTATTCCAAAAAATATGAAGTAGTTAATTGAGGCTCACCGGAAAATTTTCAGGAGGATTCCTGCTATTTACACTGTAGATTTTTTGAAACACTTTAAGTGCTTTGTCGTTTTGACCCACCGTCATTAAAAATTTTGGACTTTCAGGCATGAAAATAAATATTACGGTACTAAACAAAGCRGGGAAGCCACATATGAAAAGATAAATGTTCCACGAATGAAATTCTGTAATTTAACTTTATCTTTTAAATCTAATTTTTTATTTTGTATTACCAAGTGTTTTGTTAAAAAGTGAAAAGTAATAATTTTGGGGTAAGACAGCCCATGCTAAGAGTGGCAAAACTACACTTCCACAACTAAAAATAGTTCCAAGTACTAACTGCATTCTTGCTCTATATTTCGAACAATGGAATTCCGAAATATAGGCTGTGAGAGCAGCAAATGGGCCGTTTATTCTACAAAAGTAATTAGAAATTAATTAATTTGATGTGTTTCTCACTTACATAAAACCGCCAAAATATTTGCAAACCATTAGAACGGTTTTACTTTGGGAAAAACTGCTACTCARTACAAAAACAGCGTCTAAGAAAAAGCCAACCATTAATAATCTTTTTCTTCCTARAGTATCATAAAGAAATCCCCATACTAAGGCACTTGAAATCATTCCTGAAGATCAGCAGTTATCTATTATTAGTGTCATTTTAATTGTTACATGCCTAAGTAAGTAATTGCGTTTAACATTCCTTTATCATCTAAACTTAAGTCAAGGTCGCATTGTGCGGCTGYAAAAACATACGACATTGTGGTCGTTTCAAACATAGAAGACCATCCTACAGGAATTGAGATGAGGATTAAAAATAAATTGTAATATCCAAAACCGGTGGCTGAAATTGCTGTTTCAAAATCAGCCGGTTCTAAAACACCATGATAAGAAAATTTTCGTTTTCTAGGGTTTCCTCACCTGTAGTTTTTACTTTAGTTTCGTCATCTACGGACACGATGTAGATATTTTTGGCCATATTATATTTTTCTTYCATTGTGACGACAGTTTTTTAATGAACTGATGACCGATTATGCTTCTATTATATTCATTCAGGAGTTCTAACAATGATAATTACGAGTATCTAAAATTTTTGTTTGTAACCAAAATCGGTTAGGTTTAGCTCAATGAAATTATTTTCAAGATGGCGGTACTCGGTTACATTGGAAGTGGATATCAATTTCGTTATTTTAAATAGAAAGCTATGTTTTTATTGCGTTTTCGAATTACTCAAGTAATTTTGAGAGAGTTTTTATTAGCATTCTCTATACCTAAGTTTAACCGTTTTCGAAATATTTATATCTTTGTAAAAAAAATTGGATTTCAATCTTCCTATTTAAAAATTGATAACTTTACAATTTTTTATTATGCTGAAACCGTATTTGGGTATACGAGAGAAAGGTTAGATATTTCTTTTGGTGTATTTCTGATTGGAAAAATAATTAACAAACCATTTAAAATAACGAAGTTGATTTCCGGTGCAACCGAAAGTGAAAATATTTTTATTGAGCAGGATATAAACGATTGTGGCTGTAATCAAAATATTATAGACAAATATCAGTGTTAAAACTTCCAATACTTCTAATGTGAGGGTTAACCGGAGTAGCTGTAGAATTAAGTTGAAAAAGCTAAAACCGATTGCTGATATTGTAGTTTTTTTTTTTTTGTGAAACGGTAGTAATTTAAAACAAAAAAAATTAAATACATACTTAGATTTATCTATCAGAGTTGGTTTATTCTCATCTTTAATAGAAGCTGTTGAAAGTGTTTCACTTTTCGTCAGTGTTATACCCCAAGTAGAACATAAAATGATAAATGCTTATCGCATTGTAATTGCAGAAGGTACACTATTACGTAGGTATCGAAAGGCAATTTTATGTTGGATTTTTTTATTATTTGCAAATATACAAGTGTTCCGTTTTTATTGTTACAAATTTAAGCAGGTGATAGAATATTTAATTGTAAGATAAAAGTTTCCTATGAACATCGAAAAATGCTACGCAAGGGAGGTACACCTCTTTAAAGGGGTAAAAAGTACCCTAACTATTATAGCTGTTGGTATTTACCACTTTCAGCCACACAATTCTAAATTTCATAGATTTTTACAAAAATAGGTCTCTTGCGTTTTTTCTATTCAATTTTTGAGTAAAAGTAAAAAGTAAAAAGAGAGCGGTACCAAGTTGTGTAATTTTATCTATTCTCCAATAGTGGAAAAATCCCATTAAAAAACGCATCTCTTTCAGGGGGTGTAGCTTGCCCACATAACCTTTTTTGATACATGTTTATAGGAAACTTCTGCCTTAAAATTGAATATTCTATGATCTGTTTAAATTTGCAACAATAAAAACGGAACACTTTGTATATACAATAAGGAATAATAGTGTGTCTTACGAATACTACTGTAGTGCTTTCAGATCTGTGTTTGGTAAAAGACACACTAAAAAAGAACAGCCTGAAAAATCGGAAATTTAATAGCGTTTTTTTTTACATTTTCTTGTTACGTTTACCAACAATTGCGGCTCCCACAGTAAAGAAAGGTGGTGCACACCCTAATTGTAGCAAAATTGGAAATACTAAATTACCCATCACTGCACCTGATCGCCCAATCATCATTGTTAAAGAAATGGTCATTGTTCGTAAAGTCGTTGGAAAAAGATCAACGACCACGGCAAGGACCACATTTACATTAATACTGCCCAGGGAGACAAAAAGACACGATAAAATTATTGTTGATAGTGAATTTTGCGCAAAGTACAAACACATCGCACTTAAACCAGAAAATATTCCTAATATACCTAATAAGAAACAAATTAATTAAAATAAATAGAGCGAGGGCAACATACTTATAAGTCTCTTTTTGCCTAAAGCATTAATTAACAGTCCGGCAATAATGTAACCACCAATTGAGACAACTGACACAATAATTGAGTTGATGTAAACAGACGAGTTGTTTAAATTCTTGAAACAAAATATGTGTTTTGAATAAAAGTTTTTGGTTACATACCACTTCGCATTCCTGTGATTTATTCTTAGGCCGGATTTGGTCAATCATTGTGCAAAGATCAGTGGTCGAACCGTTGTTGTAATATTGATAATCATTGACTGCTTGGAAGATTTGTGGAAGCCAAAAGCGTAAAGTATTAAGACTCATCATTGTCAACATTTGTAACAAACAAACTAAAAGGATTCTTCCTAAATGAGGAGGAAAAAACAGAGGAGTCATCTGTTGCCACCCTTCTTTCATCGCTTGTATTTTCGTTCTGTTGACAGTGATTCTGCCTCCGTGTTTTGAGTCATTATTTAATTTTGTTTCCTCGACTAATTCTTTGATCTGTAAAAAAATCAAATTCACACACATGTGCTTACATTTATAATTAGTTCACCGGAAAAGTTTCAGGAGCGTTTCCTGTATTAAAACAATAAACTTTCCTGAAAACTTCTAAAGCCTTTTCATTCCATCCCATTGTCATCAAAAATTTTGGACTTTCCGGCATAAAAATAAAAGCAATCGAACTTATCAAAGCCGGAAAGGCACACAAGCACAAATACAAATTCCACGAATGGAATTCTAAAAACAGAATTATAAAATATGGATTTTTGTCTTGTATTTGCGAAATTACCTACACTATTGTTAAAAAATTTAACACTGAGGTTGAGAGGCAAAACCGCCCATGCCACAAAAGGCAATATCACATTTCCTGTACCAAAGATTATTCCTAACATCATCTGGACTCTTGCTCTGTGTCTTGCACAGTGAAATTCAGATAGGTAAGTTGTAAGCGCCGCGAAAGGTCCATTGGTTCTAAAATTGAACTCTGGTGAAGACAAGTGATAAGAGAGATAAGCGTACGCACATGAAACCTCCTAGAAATTTGGCGATTATAAGAAAAGTTGCGTTTTGCGATGATGCACTCATTAGAACGAAAATTCCATCGAGGAATAAGCCGATTGCGAGGAGTTTTTTCCGACCGAGGGTGTCGTACAAAAACCCCCAAACGAACCCACTTGATATCATTCCTGCAAAAAAATTATTGACGGGTTTGCCACCCGGAATTCCCACTTACCGATGTAAGTAATAGCGTTAAGAAATCCTTTATTTTCTAGGGTTAAACTTAAGTCGCATTGTGCTGCTGGAAATACGTATGACATTGTTGTGGTTTCGAAGATTGAGCTCCAGCCTGCCGGCATTGCGATTAAGAGGAGGATTACATTGAATTTACCAAAACCAGTGGCTGCTATTGCCGTTTCGAAATCGGCCGGTTTTATACCTGAAGCACAAATATAAGCTTTCAGAGAAAGGTTTTGGTTCATAATTAAGTCGAGTGACTACAACTGTTAATTAATTGTGTTGTACTGTTTTGTCACTTGGCTTTTAATTCATGATGTATTATATTTATTTGATAATAAATGCTATCAAATAAGGAAGAAGCTTAGATAGAAAATACAGAAAGAATTCTAACACATATAGATAAACTCAGAGAATGAAACGTTATGATCAATAATGAGTATGGAATTAAAAATAAGTAAAGAAAATAAAGAAAATTGATTCACTTAGCTATTGACAGTAATGTAAGCATTGGTGTCATCAGTACAAATTATCTAAAATTTTAAAGTCTTAGTATTTTTAACACGGAATGTCTGGGTAATTAAGACATTTTTATAGAATTTATTTTTACTATTAGTCATTATTTGGCATAACTTTAAGATTATATGTATAAGTCAAGACTCACCCTATATGAGTCGTATATGGGTAAAAGTCTACTTACATTCGTCCGAATTCTTGTTTTTTTCAGAGTCATCTAATGTTTTCGATAACAAAACTACATCTTCGGTTTCCTTCATGGTTTTGAATATAATTTAATCACATTTGTGTTAGCAAAAACAATTTTCATTTATTTATAGGAGTTTGAGCCTGGACTTAGCTTATCTCATGAGTATCTTATAGTATATTATTTAACGAGCACATAATTGTGCTTAGAATTCAAAAGGATGAAGTTTATACACGAGCCAATGACGAGTGTATAAATCTTCCAGTTGAGTTATAGCCATTATGTGCGCGTCAAATACTACCTTGTATCTACGACCTTTTTTTAACAAAACACTTTCTACTTACAAAATTTATATTTATTATACTCGTAATGATACCCCCGATTTATGCTTTAACATTTATCGAGATGTTGTTCGAAGGGCTCAATTATGCATTGAGCATAATGGGGGTCAATTTGAACATTTTCAATAAAATTTAAATTTGAATATTTTACTTTTGACAATTCTTGACATTTACGAGTATTTATCTCAATTTAGATAGATTTATTATAATATATTTGAATATTTGTATTTCTTATCTTAGTACTGCTATAGAAGGAATTTCGTAGTGTTATCACGAGTGCAGATTTAAGAAAAACATAGTTGCACATGACAAATATTGACTTTGAGCTTGAGTAATTTTTTTTTTGTCTTCGATGATGAAGATGACATTGCCAATTATCAAGCCACGTGTTTCATAAACTGTATAGTAATAGTATATTAAGCATCAAGAAGGGTAAGGACATTTTACCAACCGAGGACAATTGTTTGGGGGAGGAACGAAGCGACGACTCCAATTATTGTCTGAGATTGGAAAGTCCTTAACGTTCGTGATGCTTATGACATTTTTTGTGCGATTGATTTATGTTAGTTTTTGTAACAAAATATCTAAAAAATGTTCTAAAACGCCAAAGTTTCTAGAACATTTTTGAATGCTTACCGACTTAGTAACAATAAACAAAAATCCTTACCGACGAGTTTGGGATAGCAACGAGTAAATACAACTTACTGTCTTAGGAACGGACCTATCAAAGAATCGAATAGAGTCTAATCGCGCAAAAAATGTATAAAGCATGTACTCGTATTTTAAAATTATAAATAATAAAAATTACTCGTAGAAAACTTTCTTTTATTTTTCATAATAGAAATAATCTTTACAACATTTTTTACAAAACATTAAAATATGATTTAAAACGTTACTCCAACGCCTTGGAATCGGTGTTTGGTAGTAAAAGGGACAAAAAAGCACTAGCTGAAATAAAAAATAAAAATATAATCTAACTATGTGACCACTTTTACCAAAAACTAGCGCTGCGATTGTAAAAAAAGGTGGCCCACAACCTGTCCGAATAAGTAAAGGAAATACTAGATTTCCAACCATTGATCCAATCCTAGCACACATTAAAGCTAACGCCAATGACATTGTTCTAAAATTTTATATTTATTAATTATATTGTCTTATTTTTTCTTACCTTAAAGTAGTGGGGAATAAATTTATAATAACTACAATACAAACATTAGCTCCTATCTGTGTAAAACTAGCAAACAGTGATGAAAATGCAACTGCGAAAGCTGTATTCATGGAGAAATACATTGTGATTTCAAATCCTCCAGCAAAAATTCCTAAAACGACTGAAAAATTATTAATTAAAAATGACACACTCTTTGGGGAAAGTGGAAAATATACAAAGAAGTGTTTTCTTTCCCACTTTATTGATAAGAGAGCTTGCACACAAATCACCCACAAGTGTAACAATTGATACAATTAGAGCGTTTATATAAACTGAGGAATTGTCCGTATTCTGTAATAATTAACAAAGTTATTGATTTTTTAGTGTTTCGTTTTTGGAAAACATACAACTTGGCATTCACCACTTGTAACATTTGAAGTTTTGATGATTTCTAAGCTTTCGCAAAGATCAACAGACGACACGTTATAATAATATTGATAATCATTCAAAGCTTGGAATATTTGTGGCAACCAAAGCCTCATCGTGTTAACACTGCAACAGTAATTTTGATAAATGTTACGTCTAATTTCGAGCAGTTATTTACGTCATTGTAAACAGAGTTTGAATCAGACAAACCAAAATTATGTTTTTCAGGTGAGGAGGAAAAAACAGCGGTTTGATTTGTTGCCATCCTTCCCGCAGAGCTTGCATTTGATTCCGTTTAGCAGTAATTTGTCCACCATGTTCGTTTGGGTCTTTCTTTTTGAGACTAACTTCATCTATTAACTCTGTAATCTAGAAATTTATTAATTATTTAGAAAACTTCTAGTTTATTGTATTTTACCGGAAATGACTTTGGTGATTGTCCACTGTTTTTTGAATAGATTTTTTGGAATATTTTTAAAGCTTGTTCGTTTTCACCAATAGTCATCAGAAATTTCGGACTTTCAGGCGCAAAAACAAATATAATTGCACTTACAAGCGATGGAATACTGCACAAGAAAAGTAAAATATTCCACGAGAAAATGACTAGAATACAAATGGCAAAATTTTATAATTAGTTGAGCTTTTTCTTACTAAATGTATCAGATATTTGCAAAGTTAATTCTTGTGGTAAAAGACCCCAAGCTAATAAGGGTAACACCATGCCTGCACAACAAAAGCTAATTGCTATCATTAATTGCATTCGTCCTCTATATTTATTTGAGTGAAATTCAGAAACATAAGTTGATAATGCCGCATAGGGGCCATTTATGCTAAAACCAAATTTTGTATTATTGGTTTACCCAAGATTTTTTTTTACATAAAACCACCAAAAAATTTCGAAGCTATCAGCATTTCTTTGTTTTGCGATAAAGAACTTATAACTACACAAATAAAATCTAACGAAAATCCAATCATTAAGAGTTTTCTTCGTCCAAGAGTATCAAAGAGAAATCCCCAAATAACAGCACTTGAAATCATTCCTTAAAATTTTATCAGAAATTTTCTAGTCTAGTTTAATCTAATCAGTTACCTACTTACCAGAATATGTAATAGCATTTAATAGTCCTTTATCTTCAAGACTCAGATCAAGATCACATTGAGCTGCCGGAAAAACATAAGCCATTGTGCTACTTTCTAACCCAGAGGCCCATCCTGAAGCAAGGATTAGCAAGAGAAATAAAAAATTAAATTTCCCGAAACCGGTTGCTGTAATAGCAGTTTCAAAATCTGCCGGAACTGAAAAAAATGAATGTTTGATTTGGAAGTGATTAATATTTAGATACCTGTCGTTTTGATATTTGATGTGACTGTGTAAATGTTCTTAGACATAATGATACACCTGTGGAGAAATGATGGCACTGATTAATTTTGTTTTATATTAGTATTATTGCTTATTATCACCTGACACTGAATTTAGAACAATGAGTAGTAAAGTTAACTGAAAAAAAATGCGATAAGTTTCAATATCATACTAAATTGAACTAAAAGTAAGATTACCGACTTTTGATACAAGTGAAATAATTTTGCTTGAAAATTTTGAAGTAATACCTACTTGACCATGTATGTACATACGTACTTACCATCAAAATGCAGGTTGTTGAATTCTATAATTATAATAAATTGCTTGCTTTGTCACAGAATAATGATTAGTTTATGACACAAATTAAAACAACTTTGCAAATCAACGTGAAAGGTAACTAACAATTAACAAGATTTTTGTAAATTATTCTCTTTATTTAATTCTTGTTTCTAATGTGGCAATAAATAACGTTCATTCGTTCATGCTTATAAGCTAGGAAAATAATTCTATGCACTTGTCTTTTATGGTGGATGGATTAAAACAATGCATTTTTTTGTTAAATCTAAATCGTTTTGCAAACAGTGTAGCAATGGAGCATTATCACATTTTTAAAAAAGAGAAGTTTAACTACATTTGGTTAAATACGCTGAAGTGGTTTGAACTTATTGTTATTACAGATATTTTTTTGCTACTATATTATTTTAGTATTTTTTATTTTTACACTTTAGTTTTAAACTTATAGAAAAATTGTTCTTTTAAGACCTACTAAAAATTTTATGATTATTTTTTATTATTATAAGAGATTAACCAAACAATTGCTTGAATTTGTAACCCTCCATAAATGCCACGTATGTTGTACATATCTTTGCAAGTATTGCTGCAATCAGCAGAACAAAACAGAACAAATTAGTGGTACAGTTTTACCAAGCTATTATAAAAAAAAATCAGTCTTATTTTAATAATTGCTTGTTCTTGTTATTAACCACTTGGATTTTTTAAATTTCTTAAAATATTTGACTTTGATAACAATTACATTAAAAACTATTAAAATATTTTAAATATTTTAGACAAAAAGAAAGTAAGTAATCAGATCCTGTTAAAAACTGACCTGTTTTCCTGGTTTCTCGGTCCGGGTGGGTTACAATGATTTACGAGTATCATATACAGGCTGCGCCAGAACTCGCGCCCCAGAGAAAATTTTCAAGTAAGGTAAGATACCAGGAACATGAAAAAAATGTTTAAAAAATTCTATCTGTCAAAAAATTTTGACATTTATTTTTTGACATTTGACTTTTTTTATGTCTAATGATACTGATAATCTTGTATATGTTTTTTTACAATTATTTAGTAAAGGTACAAAAATGTTGTCAATAAAAGCCACAAATAACATTAAACAGAGTTACAATTTAGGATACAGCTTTCTTGTTTCCTTTTTTAATAGCCTATAGCAAAAAAACTTGAAAAATTATATTTCCAACAGAAATAAATAGAGTCAAAGTGCAAACTTTAAACCCTCATAACTTCGAAATTTTTATAGATAAATTTTTTTTAACATTTTTTCCATGTTCCTGGTATCTTACCTTATATGCCATTTTTCTCTGGGGCGCGAGTTCTGGCGCATCCTGTATTTACCCCTTGGTTTATTCTTAGAAATAACGTATTTAACTTAAAACAATAAAATTTTTTAATAAGTTTTAGCAAAAGTCCCTACTGTATTCGTATCAGAATGTCGTCAGAAGGACACAACATAAACGCCACTTGTATTTATTTTTATCTATTTCAAGCATGTAGGTTGTTTTATATGCTATTATTATTTACATATTATACAAAATGCACCTATCAAGGCATTATTTGTTATGAGTATGTTTTTGTTTGATATTGCTTTAGTAAATGTTTTTCTTTTTGTTTTATGCGAGTATATAAATATTTTTTTCAACTTTGCTGAGCTTTGCAGGGCGTTTTTTTCGCTAAAGTTGATAGCAACTAATATTTTCCTTTTTTGGTGGTTTGTTTTAAAAAATTATCTTATATAGGTATAGCTATTAGGTGGAGTTTATCGAGAGATATTGTATTAAACAATAATATTAAATTATTGTTACTTTATTGCACTAAACGTAGTTCAAGGTGTTCATTCTCAGGGAAAGTTAATAATTTACAGTTAACAACAATTACGTTTTGTAAGGAATATGATACTCCTAAATAAAATGATCAATAATTTATTTATTAAATTTATTAAATAATAAAAATATCACATTTACGGACATTGGAGACTTTTTTATTTCAAAGCTTTCAGATCAGTATTTGGCAGAAGTACAGTAAGCAGAGAACATCCTGAAACAGAAGAAGTTTGGGGTTTTCTTACACCTTATTTATTTTTAAATGTACCAATTACGATAGAGCCAATAGAGAAAAAGGGTGGGGCACAACCTAAAGTTAACAAAATTGGAAAAATTAAATTTCCGATCATTGAAGCAGAACGTCCAAACATCATCGCGAGTGATATTGTTACAGTCCTATTAAAATTTTTAAATAGAAACATTTATTTTTGTCTCTTGAAAATATAAATACCTCAGCGATGTTGGAAATAAGTCAATAACAATAGTTATGACGACATTTGCACAGATTCCTCCAAGTGATAAAAAAAGTGATGACAGAGTCACAACGGTGGCAGTATTTTGAGAAAAATATATTGCAATCACACAAATTCCACAAGCAATGGAAAACGTGCCTGAAACTCCGAAATAAGCACCACATTTGGTTTTGATTTCTTTTACCTAAAAGTAGTTTTTTGCCCAACTTATTTATAAATGTACTAGCAACGAAATATCCACAAATTGACACTGCTGCAATTATCATTGTATTCATGTATACAGTTGGAGAAAAATTCTAAAAATATAGATATCTTTATCAAAATTTTCAATACAAATTTTCTGAATTTCTTACAACATGGCACGTAACATTTGATTCTTTCGGAGTCAGAATTTGTAACATATTACAAAGACTACTTGTAGTACCATTATTATAATATTGGTAGTCGCTGATTGATTGAAATATTTGGGGTAACCACAGCCTTAATGTATTAACACTGTACAAAATTTATAATTTCATTAATTACATAAATTAAAATGAATAAACATACCTTAACATAAACAGTGACTGTATTGAACACACTAAAACAATATGTTTCAAATGAGGAGGATAGCACAAGGGTCTAATTTGCTGAAATCCTTCTCGCAGTGCTTGAGTTTTAGTTCTGTTGGCAGTAATGTGTCCACCATGTTCATTACTTTCTGTTTTAGTTTCGTCTATCAATCTTTTAATCTAGAGCAAGACAGTTACGAGTACACATTATTATTACATAAAATTACCGGAAAATCGTCTCTACTTTTGCCGGTATTGAGACTATAAACTTTTTTAAAGACGTCCAAAGCTTCATCGTTGCGACCAACAGTCATTAAAAATTTTGGACTTTCTGGCAGAAATGTGAAAATGATTCCACTAATCAGCGATGGTATGGCACACACTAGGAGGTAGATATTCCACGAATGTAGCACTAAGAAATTAATTTAAAAACATGTGCAAAAATTGCTCAAATATTACCTATTTTGTTGTTGTAAAGGTTTAAATCGATTTGTTGGGGCAAAATGGCCCATGCTAGCATGGGTAGAGTCAGAGATCCACCACTCACTATCATTCCTCGAACTAATTGTACTCTTGATCGGTATTTAGAACAGTGAAATTCTGATAAATAAGCAGTCAGTGCCGCGAAAGGTCCATTGATTCTAGTAAAAATGTTTACTAAAATTGAATCTGTCAGTTTTAAAGCAGTGAATCAGCAAGCTTACATAAAGCCCCCAAAAAATTTAAAAATGAGGAGCAAAATATAATTCTGGGAGAAAGAAGAGAGTATAACAAAGAAGGCATCGAGTAGATAACCGACCACCATTAATTTTTTTCGTCCAAGGGTGTCGCAAAGGAAGCCCCAAACAAATCCACTTGATACCATCCCTAATAATCATTATTATTTTTTGATAAAATAAATATTTTGACGAATTGCCTACGAAAGTGATGGCATTTAAGGACCCTCTGTCGGTCAAAGACAAGTTTAAATCACAGTGAGCAGCAGGAAAGACGTAAGACATGGTGGTGGTTTCAAACACCGACGACCATCCAGCAGGAATCGACAGCAGGAAGAGAAAAATGTTGAATTTTCCAAACTTTGTCGCTGATACTGCTGTCTCAAAATCAGCATCGTACACTTCTAAAATAATTAATTGAGTCACTAAATAAATAAAAGTTGATTATACCTCTTTCTGAAGTTTGTCGCTTTGTTGATCCGTAAGTATTTCTTTCAACATTATTCGAAATGTTGAACACCTGATTCTTGCTTAAAACGTTTTTCAAAGGTTTTGGTGCCATTTGTTCACTATTACTGCTGATAAGTGAAAACAATTGTACTATTCAAAAACAGATTATTTAAATAATTTTAATACATGCGAATGCTAGGTGCAACAATAGATTTTATAAGACGCGTAATCCATACTTTACATAGTTGTAATTTATGTTGTCTCTTTTGACATACTTAGAATGTGTAAGTCACAATAGTGACGCATTTGGGAGTTTAAACAAAATAAATTTGTTGTGCGATATGATGAAACACGACAAAAATGTTGCAGGAATGGAATTTTCCTAACAGTTTTTTAGCAGTGAAAGACTTTTCTGTTTTTTGTTTTATTTTATTTACTTATAATTACACAAATTTAAAATAGAAAAGTAATTATTGCAGTGCTTTTAGTTCGGTGTTAGGCAGGAGAATGCTAAGTCCTGACCCGACTGTAAAAACAAGTTAATTAGTTTCATTTCTATTTAATTATCTGTACCAATAATCAAAGATCCAACAACGAGGAACGGGGGAGCACAACCAGCTTTGAGTAGAAATGGGAATATAACATTACCAAGCATTGCAGCTAACCGTCCTGAAACCATTGTAAAAGAAATTGTGACAGATCTAAAATATTATATTTAAAAAACTTTTGATAACAAAAGATAAGAAACCTCAAAGTTGTTGGAAACAGGTCTGCAGTAACAACTGTAGCGGCGTTTAGAGAAATGCCTCCCATGGATATAAAAAGAGAAGATAAAATTAAGACTGCGGTCGTAGTTTGGGCAAAATAAAGCGATGAGGCACAAATTCCACCCAAAAGACAGGATCCAACTAGAATTTTTTTTTAGAAAGTTTTTAATTTTATGTTGCTTACAGATTAAAATTTTCTTGCCCAATTTATTAATCAATAGTACTACGATTATGTAGTTTGTAATCGATACACTTGCAATTATCATTGTGCTAAAATAAACCGACGAAGAAACATTCTAAAATTATTCGTTATTTTTTGATATGTGAAATAATATTAATTTACGAATTGACACTTTGATGATTGTGGTGGATTTATCAACTTTAACATTTTACAAAGACTTGCAGTTGTTTCATTGTTTTGTCTTTTGTAGTCGCTAATGGACTGAAAAATTTGAGGCAACCAAAGACGAATAGATTGTATGCTGAAATCACAAGTAAAGATATTATTCTATTCTACTTACACTAATTTTGTGTACCTAAACATATTTAAAAACTGAATCGTACAAACTAGAATTAGAGATTTAAGGTGAGGAGGGTGACAAACTGGTTTAACTTGTTGACAACCTTCTCTTAAAGCTTGCTTTTTTGTCCTGTTAGCTGTAACAAAACCACCATGTTTTCTTTCTTCATTTCTCTCTATCGTTTCTTCAACTAAACTTTTTACCTAAATTAACGAAATATGGAAGTAAAGTAGAACTATTTTATTCTTACTGGAAATTCTTCTTTGGGTTTCCCAGTATTAAAACTGTAGATTTTTTGAAAAATTTTAAGAGCATCATGATTGCGACCAACAGTCATAAGAAACTTTGGACTTTCAGGCATGAAAATAAAAATTACTCCACTAAGAAACGACGGAAGTGCACACGCAAATAAAAAAATATTCCATGAATGAAAAACTGTAATTTTTTAGTTATGAAATTATTAAGAAGGGATAATTCAAACCAAGAAAGTTGCGATGATTGAGTGTTATATCTAGTGGCATAATAATCCACCCCAGAATTGGCAAAACTACAGTCCCTACACTTACTACAATTCCCCTAACCATTTGAACTTTTGATCGATATTTTGAAGCATAAAATTCCAAAATATATGAAGTAAAACCTGTGTAAGTTCCACTGGCGCTGATGAACCTTACAATTAATTAAAATATTATAATTGTCTGATTACTTACAAAAATCCTCCAAAAAATTTAAGTAACAACAGCATAGCCAAACTTTGGGAAAACCCACTTATTACCACCATCACCGAATCCAGTAAAAACGTTAGAACCAAAACATACTTTCTTCCTAAAGTATCAGACAGAAAACCCCAGAGTAAAGCACCTACTATCATTCCTGAAACTCCCATTTATTTATTTAGTATTTTTTGATAATATCAATTCTTACCAAAATAAGCGCCTCCGTTCAAGTGGCCTTTATCATGAATTGTGAGATTTAGGTCACATTCAGCGGCAGGAAACACGTATGACATTGAGGTAACTTCAAAAGTGCTTGTCCAAGATCCAGGAATAAGGAGGAGGAAGAGGCACAAATGGAATTTTCCGAATTTGGTAGCAGAAATAGCTGCTTCGAAACTGGCTAACTCGGTGGGATTTTCGGTTGAAGGGGTGTCGCTACCATTCACGGGCATATTTCATTGGAATTTTTGACAAGTAGTTGTCAAATAATGTATTTTTTAAGAGCTTTGTAGAAAACTTTATTTATTACTCCTACAATTTTACAGGATATATTATTATATGTGGTTTATTTATTTGTTTTTTATAATTGTAGCAAAAAATTTTAGATAACTGAACTAGTCGGATAACTTAATACTTAATTCAAATTAAACTTTAAAAAAGCAAACACGTTTTTGTATTTTTTCAGTTTTTCTATTTTATTTTCGACAATAATATTTTTTATAATTAAAACTGTGAGGTAGGTTTGAGGCATTCAAAGATCCACACAATAATAAGACTTTTATATAAAAAACTAAACATCAAAATATAATAAATATGAATAAATAAAGTAAAAAAATAAAAAGATAAAACTGGAAGTTTCCTAATGTATTACTGTGTATTTGTCAGTTTGAGGTAAAACTGAGCAAAGCATTCCGCTGGCTGAAAAAATATTAGTTTATTAAAAGTTACTTAGAAATATTATTGTTTACCTATGAGAAGCGAGCCAAAGAGATAAATCGGTACAAAACACTTCCAATCGATCAATAATCCAAAAACTACATTTCCAAAAATTGCCCCAATTCTCCCCGTCGATGCAGTAACAGCTAAAGCAATTGCCCTAAAAAAATTGGATTGAATTTTGTTATCAGTTTTGATTGGGAAAATTACCTAAGATTTGTCGGAAACAAATCAACAATAAAACAAAAAATCACAGCTTCAAGAATACTGGTCAGTGCTTCAAAAACACAAGAAAGTACCAGAGTTTGTGTTGAACTTTGTACCCAGTTTAGTGAGAGGGTTGTTAACCCTGACATCACCAATCCAATAACTGTAAGAAAATACAGATTACTATTGTTTTTTTAATAATTGTTGATAATTAAATAACAAAGTTCAATTGTGGATGACTATCTATCATGGAAAATTACAGAACTGGATGTTTTGCCTGTGACTAAACGAAAACAATACTCACTTAATACCGTTTTCTTGCCAAATTTCCTCATAAAGAAGCTGAGTGATACTGACGTAGGAATACAACTTAATCCTATGATAATCGTGTCGAGGAAAACACGATTATCTATTGAAGGGATACAAGGTTCAGGGAAAAATACTTCAAGAGTGTCTCCTTTTCTATAGGACACGGAGCAAACACTTGCAGTACTGTTGGGATGAGTAATTGCGAACTCATTGAAACGTTCGAAAATTTCAGGAAACCACATAATCAAAGTGTAGTAACTACAAAAAATTTGTCAGAAAAACATTCAATAAATTTATGAACCCTACCTTGCCATTAGGCCAAAGTCAGCAAAACAAGTCACCAAGAGGTATTTTAGGTAAGGTTGAGAGAACAACACTTGAAATTCACTGACAATGGACGAGATTTTGAAACAAATTTTTTCTTTAAGTGGTACTTTTTTGACAAATTCTTCGGCATTATTATTATTTTCGTATTCCCCTTCTAGAGTCATGACCTGTTTTTTATTTATTTAAGTAAAGAAAGATTTTTTCGTTAATTAAACGACTTACTGGGTAAGCATATGAAGGGAATCCAGTATTAAAAGTAAACACTCTCTGGAAAACGAGTTTGGCTTTTTCGTATTGTCTTTTTGAGATTAGAAATTTTGGTGTCTCTGGTAGGAAATACAGCATAACTAGACTGATCAAACTCGGGATACTGCAGACCAAAACGAAAATTCTCCAAGGGCTGAAATTCCCATGATCGATGAAGGAATTTAACACGGTTTGATTAAGCAGAATCCACGCTAGACCTACAAATAAAACACAGCTTGGTTAGGTTTCAAAACAGTGTCAAAATTTTTGATTTTTACACTGCAATAAGTAGCTCGGACCAGACTGACTGTTCTAAAGAAGAATCCACATTATTTTTTGGCCAGACTGGCAACCTACTCTGCATCAAACATTAATTAGATTGTCTAAACCTACTTCTGGGTCTTAGTCTGGTACTCACCTGGTAAAAGGATGACTCCAACGTTCCAAAATACTTCTAAACGACCCAACATCCCATCCCGGTATTTTTTTGACGTGAATTCGCCCAAATAAGAGAAAATAATGCTAGTGGCCCCTATAATACTGAGAATGGGTTTAAACTGCATTTGGGGGTTGATTTCGAAGGGTCTTACCCGAATCCGTTGAAGAAACGACAAACTAAGAAGAAATTAAACGTCTGAGCAAAAGATGAGGTCAAAGCTGCGAGAAAATCGACAAGAAGCGAAAGCATTATTGCGACTTTACGGCCCTGAGAATCAGCAATTGAGCCCCAAAGACTGCAACCGAATATCATTCCTACAAAGAGAAAAAAAGTTGGGTTTTGTATTAAGTTTGATCGTTGAAATTACCGATTAAAGGCATCGCTGATAATTTTCCCTTATCAATTGATGATAAATTAAAGTCACATTTGGCTGAAGGCAAGACGAATGATAATGTTGTTGAGCTGATGGCGCAAGTTGCGTAAATTGTTCCACAAACAGCAAGGAGCAAAGCTTGGAATTTTCCATATCCTTAATAAAAAAATAGTTGACTACAAATTCAAAAATCTGATTTTTTTACTTACTTGCATAGTGGATGGCAGTCTCAAAGTCGGCGGTTTGGGCCTTTTCGATGAAATCTAAAACACTTACGTCGTAATTAAACCGATAGTTGGTCATGGTTAAAAATGTGTGTTAGTGATAAGGAAATTTCAATGATGAGTTAAAAGATAGTCGTACCGTGTTGAGTTCTTTCTTGGATTAGTAAGAAAGAACGGTCCATTTCGCTTCGTGATAAAGACATGACTGAGACAATACTTTAGGCACGTTACTCATTTATCAGTATTGGTAACATTGGAAAAATAAATAAGTTGCTTGTTTGTTTAGGAACGAGTCAATATCACAAGTTTGATATGGGTTTAAAAATACGTGATTAACTACGTAAATGGTACGGAAATTATTTAATTAATGAGCAGATTTGAGACAACTTGTTCCCTTAACCCACATCAAGATTTTCAAATATGGATTTTTCAAAAAGTGACAAGACCCAAACCCACAATTGTATGGATGCGAAAAAATATAAAAAATTTCAAGGAACACCAATTTGGGATTGTTGAGATTTTTCATTTTTTACAAAGCAAAATAAAGCAAAAACTTGCTTGCTTTAGCAACTAGAAAATGTTTTTGTACGTAATTATTTTTTGGTAGATTTTGGGAAAAAGTATCTAATTGTACAAAAAGTGAAAGAAAAAAGACACAGGGTGGATCAATCTAAACCATACACCTCATATTTGTATTAATAAAAACATGCTTGCGAAGACTTAGGACTACATATATTTTTTTTTAATCTTAAAGATCGTTGAATCAATTTGATTTATGCCCCGCTATCAATAATTATTGATTAAGGAGTAAGTAGGAAGTTTGAAATTTAATTAGAATTAGGTATTTTATCATAAACATCACTAATTCTGAAACTGTTCTCTTTTTTCAAATGAAAAAATAATTTCGCATTTTTTTTGCATCATTTTTTGATGAAACTATCACATTACAAAATTCATGTTGGTAGGCTTGAAGCAATTCAGTCAAAGTTTTTTAAATATATAAAATGGTTGCTTCCTTATTGTGTGCAAGATGATTACAATATTTCATTAAATTATATGTGTCTTTCTACACTTGAAACTAGAAGAAGATATCAGGCTTTATGTTTTGTTTATAAACTTTTGAATAATTTGATCAATGATACTTCAATACTAAATTTAATAAATTTTCACGTTCCTCAGTATAATAGCAGATCAAACCAGTTATTCAAAATATCGTTTACACATAATAATTATCTATTTAATTCTCCTCTAAATGATCTTCTTAGGATTTGTAATATGTACAGTGTCAAGTTGGACTTTTTTAATTTTAAATCTTTAAATAGCTTCAAGTGTTTTCTGAATGTTTCTTTGAGTTAGTCTTTTTAGTATTCTTTAAATATGTTTATATGTATGTTACTTGTTTTGTATTATAATTTTATTGTTACTTAATGTAAAGGATGTTACTGTCAAAATAAAGTTACTATTACTAGGTTACATTGCAAAGTGAAGTCTGTAATCAATTAAATTGTGATAATATAAAAAATATAAATTGAATTACTTATATTAAATGATGATTACAGAATTAAAAAAAGATGGCATGTAAATTTGCGATTAGACTCGTATATGTAAACATAAACTTACACCATTCTTTTGCTGGATAACACATAATAAAATTTCACACTTAATCTTATGACGATTTGAGTGAAAGACTAAGCAGAAAACCACTGCAAGTAAATTTTAATACTTAATTTGTCGGGTCATCTTTCCGGGTCAAATCCTCCGGCGACTATAGATGTTTTGATTCCAGTCGAAATAATGTCAAAGAACATAAGACGACGTAAATAAACTGCTGTATTTTTTGGAAAACTTGCGTCATTAACGTTTTTATGGCCTTGTTAAAGCAACACATTCCTTGAGGAAGTTGTAGATAATTTAGGGCTATTTTTAGTAAAATTAACATTAAATTTAAGAAAAATGTGATTATTATTGGTTTTTGAGTTATAATTATCTATTTATTTGTATTACGTTGAATAATCATACTTTAAGCTGGTGATAAATGAAGTCTTGTGAAGCGGACGATACCGGTTTAGACCTCCGATGATTGTTTTCAATTTTACGAAGATAAAAATTGCATGTGTAAAACAATAAGTCGGGATGATAAGTCTCAAGTCAAAGTTCATTTAAAGAACGTAAAGAAAAGTCTAAATTCTTGATAATATCTAGGATCTGTTGCTTTCTTATTAGAAATCCTCAAATTGCTTATTAATTAGGTGATGAATTAAACTTGTGTAAAATTTCTTATCTACCTAATGGAGCGTCAAATTTGTTTTGAAAAGCAGAAAATTCTAAAGAAATCTAGTACCAAACAGCGATTTAGTAAACAAGCTTTCTTTACTTTTTCCAAAAAACAATAATATTTTGACATTTTAAAAAGTCACGTTTCGTTAATCTTGTCTAAATTCTCAGTAAGAATGACGACAGAAGCAAACGAGCAATTTTATTACAATTTAATGTTAGCCAAAGCATTAGTACAATTAATGCCAGCAACTGGTAAATAATTCTTTTGTAAAATTCTATTCCTGCATTAAAAGAATTTTTAGATCGACAACACGTAAGAATATGGTTTGATGTCCTTGCAGATCTTGACACCAATGAACAAGAACTATCTATTCGAAACGAATATATCTGGTTTATTCTTCTCATGTTACAAAATAACAAAATTGAAGAATATTTTAAAGATTTACCACCGAGAAAAATTTTACCACTTCGCAAAGTTTTAGTAAGTTTATTAATTGTGGTAACTAAACAGAAACTTGTTTTTGTTTTTTAGCCTCAGAAAGTTATCGACGATGTTTTAATAACTTGCGATCAAAATATGTCATGGCTGGATACAGTCACTGACGATGAAAAACAAAAAAATTTGGACAAAAAGAAAATTCCACCCGAAGAGTTTTTAAATAGCCAACCACTTCCTAAAGAGGGTGTTATCTCTTATTTTGGAGCTTTCAGTGACCATTCGTAGGTCACACAAACGAGATAAAATATTAACAATGCCATCTTTAACTGAGTTTGTGAATTAAGTCAAACTGTTTGCAGTTATCTGAATTAATATTTTGTAAAGCGGAATAAATAAATTCTATTCTCTAGAAATTTTGTTAAATATTTGCTTTAATTATGAATTCTGCTGAGTCTTGTCTTGTAATTCATTCACCTTAAGAGACTGCATATGTATACAGCTGGTCACAAATGCTTTACTCTTTACTTTATTTTGGTATTTTTTGTGCTATTTATTGCCAATATTTGTATTTGAAGAAGGAGCAAAATAATGTTAGGCACTAAAAACGTGTTTAAGCATTTTTCAATAAATTTTGTAATACAATATGTTCTGTATTAATTTGCAAACACTCCATGTCACATTAATTATACCTAGTCAGGAGAAAAAATGCTGATGGATAGCAGTGAACTTTAATTGATGTTTTTTATTCAAGTTTAATAAAGTGTGTTTTGTGGTGCGATATTTTCAGACAATCACTATGTTAGTGGACATTGTTTTTGTAATATATTTTCTTTTTATTTATTCGATTAAAAGTCACCAATCGCATTTTTATAACAATGCATCTCTTAGAAGTGTCGAATTTTCGGACGCTCCTAGAAAAATCTTATGTAGTGACAATTCAGTTTGTGTTCCTTTTGTGCAATGTCCAGCCCACGTCCGTAACGAAATAAAAAAATCTTGTCAAACTGTAACAGGCCGTGAGGGGGTTTGTTGTTTAACAGGACAAAATCTCACAGGTTAGTTATACCCTTTGCTATTTTTTTTACAAAATTTTTAGCACCTGAAGAGAGGGAAGTTCATGGTCGTCACCACTCACTACGAATGAATCTTCACACAATAAATTTACTTGCAAGACGAAGTCAGGAACAAATAAGGGAAATCCAAGCGAAAGAAGCTTTACTTTTGTCTGATGGTTATCTCGTAGTTCCTGGATCACCAAGTTATGATCATTTCAAAAATTTTAAACTACTTTCAAGAAATGACTTGTTTCAAGTTTTGGATCTGGCTTCTCGAGCAATGGAGATTGCTTTGGCTACTAAAGATTTCAAACATCGGTAAAAAATTGTAAATTAAAACTGCTTTTTGTTGAAAATGAATTTTAGTCAAGGCCTGACAACTCAACAAATCGAATTAGGGGTTCTTGAGCAGGACTTAAGACCAACATCTCTTGGTATAGCTTGTAATATCGAACCGATTTGTCCTCCAATTCCTGTAAAATTTCGACGAATTGATGGGGCTTGTAATAATCTACTCCACCCCTCTTGGGGTACAGGAATGACACCCTATTCTCGCCTTTTACCCCCAAGTTATGAAGATGGTCTAATGACAAAATTTCAGTCGTTATTTAATTTACACTAATTTTTTCAGGTATTTGGATCCCTAGACTTTCTGAAACTGGTCAACCTCTGACAAGTGCGCGACTAATAAGCACGACAATTATTTCAGATGCTGATTCTTTTAATTATGATCATACTTTAATAGTAATGCAGTTTGGACAGTTCTTGGCGCATGATGTGACACAATCGATTGAAAATTCTTTTGGTATTAATTATTTTCTTTAAATTTTTTGCTTTACTTGTTTTTTAGCAAACGGTAGTGCCATTTCTTGTTGTTCTTTTGACGGCAGAAGAAAATTAACTCAAGAAGAACGTCACTATGCATGTATGGCTATTGACATTCCTCACGATGACCCTTTTTTCAGTAGATTTGGGCAAGGATGTATGAATTTTGTAAGGTCAGTCCTGGCACCTAGGCAGGACTGTACGTTAGGATATGCCCAACAAGTATGACTCACTTTTTATAAAAATTTACTGCCTCACAATAATTTAAACTAATTTTTTATGTTATTAGACACAGAATTATTAATTGATTAAAATTTCACATTTTATGGCGTTGCACTTAATGTCACGCAGTATTTGTTTAATATCTCTTGATTAAAGATGAACAAAATCACCCATTTTATCGATGGTTCCAACATTTATGGCTCGACACCGGAGCAAACCGGCCGTTTGAGGAGTTTTCACCGAGGCATGTTGAAAATTTTTAATGATTTTGGACGTCAAATGCTGCCTTTATCACACGACGCTGATGAATGTTTGAGTAAAGGTCGAAACGGGGCTTGCTACATGTCTGGTGAATAATCTTATTTTTTGTTGAAAAAAATCGAGCCTGTGTTTCAGGGGACAGCAGGACGAATCAAATGATTTCGTTAGTGGTTTTGCATACGATATTTTTGCGAGAACACAATAGACTAGCTGACGAGTTATCGAAATTAAATCCTCATTGGGATGACGAGAAAATATTTCTGGAAACTCGTCGAATTGTGATAGCTGAGTTACAAGTTATTGTTTACAAAGAGTTTCTTCCGATTGTGGTAGGAGCAGCAGCAATGGAGGAGTTTCACTTGGGACTAGCCCAAGGCATGGATTATGCCCAGGATTACGATGGGTCAGTTGAACCATCCGTGACAAATGAATTTGCGTCTGCGGCTTTCAGATTTGGGCATTCTGTCGTCGATGGATTGTTAAAGTATTTGGAAGAAATTGGTTTTCAAGAAATTCAACTCTTGTTTTTTAGAATTTATGGCAAAGAAAGGATGGAAGAAATGATTTCAATTCCAGAAACAATGTTCCAGCCAAGTCGTATGAGAAAACTCTTCTTTATGGATGAACTCTTAAGCACATTAACGACCGAACCTCTTCAACAGGTCGATAATAACTTAGTGGAAGCTGTTAGTAATAAACAAGAGGCGGTATAAGATGATTATTAAATAACTTTTAGTTAACACGGTATATGTTCCGAGCTGGAAATGCGTTTGGTATTGATTTAGCCTCATTGAATATCCAAAGAGGCCGCGATCATGGATTGAGGCCTTATAATGATTACCGAGAATTAGTCGGATTACCTAGACTAAGACACTTTGAGGAACTTTCATTCGAAGTAGGTGTTCCAAATTTAGAAACCGTTTAATTGTTCTGGATTGTAGTTGAGCGAAAAATTGAAAAGTGTTTATGCTTCCGTTAATGATATTGATTTGTGGGTTGGAGGATTGTTGGAAGAGAAAGCTCCGGGGAGTATCGTTGGGTACACTTTCAGGGATATTATTGCCGACCAATTTTACAGACTTAAGAAAGGCGACAAATACTTTTTCGAAAATGATCCCAGTGTTAATCCGGGTTTTTTTCAACCAGGTGAAGCTAGCTAATTATTCGTAATTTTATGGTCGCTGCTTTTGCTATTAACATAAATAAATTACATTTAGCTTCAAAAGGGACTCATTATGGATAAACTATTTTTTACAGAACAACTATTTGAAGTGCGAAAAGCGTCAATGTCCCGATTAATCTGCGACAACAGTGATGGGACTCTCCTCTCGCGTCAAGCTCCCAACGCTTTCAAAAAACCAGGAGTTAAGGGGTGAGACATATTACTAGTTTTTCCATTTTTTAAAACGGTTTATTTCAGAAATGAGTTTGTTGATTGTGACGGGAATGATATTCCACGTATAAACCTACTTTATTGGCGTGAATAAAACCACAGTTTAGTTATCTCATCTATCTTGCTTTTATTTGAAAGCCTTGTGTACTTAAATGTTGAAACAATCATCTATATTTGTAGTAATTTTCTAAACATAAACTGAAAACGTAATTATTGTGTTTGGGAAGATGTATGATAGGCTCTTCTGATTTACATAAATAATTTATTAACAAGCATTGCGTTTATAATAATTAATATGAGTAATAAATAATCCACAGTCTTTACATAAACATAGAGGGCTCACAGCTACATCACATAAATATGTTTTTTTCAAAATTTATAGAGCCCCAGATTTTGTCATTCCAGCCCTTATTGACAAGACTTGGGGCCGATTTATTTACAAATCACTAAATTTATCTAGTCAGTACAACAAATGAGTCAAGAAAAAGTTAGAGTTGACAATTAAAAACGCTAAGGTCCTCTTCAAATCATTTTTGTCGATCGCTTCTCCTTGAAATAAACATCCTAACACATTTTTTTTGTGTTTAGTTACTTACTAATAATTTTGAAGCTTTGTTTTTGTGGAAACGGGGCCGTTGGTTTGGGTAAGCGTCATCAAAAAGAACATTTTCTTCGTTGGAATAAACATCAGCCATATTCCTGAAGTCATCTAGTCTAAAAAAAAAAGAATTTTCAAAGATTAATAACGTTTTAGTTGTTTCCGGTTTTGCCTTTCATAAAATTTTCATTTATAAATTCAGGAGGTTTTGGGTTAAGTTGAAATTAAAATTTTTGACTTAAAATCGGATAGTTTTAGTAAAGGTGTGCACTTTAAAGGCAAATTGCAGGCGAATTTAGGGTGGTTTTCTTTGACATTCAACACCTCAAATAAGTGGAATTATCTCTTGGCGTATCGATTAACTTGAAAAATGACCAACATAATAACAGTGTAATTTCCTCTCGCGTTTAACTTTACATTGCAACGAATTAGCTTAGAAATTTTAGTCTACTCTAATTGGATTACTAACCCTTTCAAAGGATCCGCTTCCATTTGAGTGTCGGCGAAAAGTTGTTGACTTGGTACCTCCAAGTCCCTCTCATTGACATAGCGCACGTCCAGAGGACTCTGGACTAGTTTGGAAAGAAACCAAGTCGAGTCCCTCGAAGGGTCTCTCACTGGGACATGACTGTTTCTTTTACCATGTGCTGAAAAAAAAATTCAGCGCGACAACAAACAACTTGATTAACTTACCACCCCAACATGCATGCCCGTAACTGAGACAAGAACCTGTTAAAAATTACTAATTAAAAAATGCTCGCAGCTGTTAGCTGTAAATTAATTTTTCAGGTGGAACAAAGCTACGACAGTGACACCTAAAGCTTGACTCGAATCAATTAATTCGGAATCAAGCTTTATCACACAGCGTGTGAATTTCATTTAATATTGTTTCAGGTGTATCAAAGAATTTCGCCGTGGGTTTTTTGCTTGCACTCAAAAGAAACAAATTTGATGGAAATTGAAATAAAAACTTGATTGCATAATACAATTTTTCAAAATTTATGTGGGAGTTTTAGGAAAGGATAAGTTATTCCCGGAATGTGCTTAGGTTATCAATTTCCTCATTTCACACCTTTTGTACACTGTGTGATGTAATGTCAACAAATTGGATATAATTCTTTTAATCCATTACCAACGATGAAATAAATCGATTGATTGAAAAATTAATTCTTGAGTAAAAAGTAAATTAACTGATTAAAAATTCAGGACTAATTTTTTTTTTGGTTTAGTTCAACTCTTGACAAGTGAATGTAATTCTCACATATCTCAGAGTTAATATTACATAGTAGCCCAAGATAAACATAGGGTCAGGTACCTGTGTACTTAATATCAATTATTTAAGGATACTTGTCTAATCGCACTAAATGTAACTACCAAATTATCTTGTTAAACAGTCCGGAATAATAGACTTGAACATTAAAGCTTTTAGTTTTTGTTTAAATTTTTTTATTTATAAAATTTTCAAACAAATCTATAATTACAATTTTAAAGGCTATATTTCCTCTGTATTGTTTTTGTTGGTTAGAAGTAAGCATTATAGAATGGATTTTAATGAAAATAAAACAATGAACGTTTGTTTTCATTATAAAGCACGGTGATAGTTTTAAATGGTGAAATATCGATACGCTTGATCGGGATTAAAAGTTATTTCTTGAAGCAATGCGCTAGATTTTTATTTGCTTGCTATGACCGGCTCTTATGAGAGTATTTAGCTCTAACTTTTCTGTTTTAATAGTGAGCGGAATAATTTAATGATCAAAGTTGCTTTTATAGCTAAATAAAATTAGAATTAGAATTGAAAGTTTTATCTAATACTTTGCTAGTTTACGATTCAAAGTATTGACAAACGAAGATACCAAAAATGTGCTTGATGCACACTTCTTTAGTTATTCTAAATTGATAAATCTTTAGTAAGATTTTATTTTTAATTCTGAAAACTACATAAGAATATTAAGCGCTGTTGTGATTTTTAACAGATTACACTGTTACATTTATGCATTTTTTTAAAGTTAAAAACCGCACTTTAGAGTAGTCGAAAAAACTTTGTATGTCACACGGTAGCAAAGTGATTCAGTCTCAGTCTACTTCTAAATATGTAAAAAGCTACTTTACTTTCTTAATTTACAAAGATTTATTATTTATTGCAGAAATAAAACTGAAAATATTGTTTTGGTAAATTGTATGTGAATAAAAATAGGTATTAAAAAATTAATATTAAGAGTAACAATGCTTCAATAAATCTATAAACGTTACCGAAAATGTCACAAAGGTTTAATAATAAAATAATTTATTGAACTGACTCAAATTTAATAATTTTAAAATGTTTTCACTGGATTTTTATAAAATTGTGCGATATTTTTAGTGTTTTTTAAGACATAAAATTGTGCGATATTTTTAGTGTTTTTTTAAGACATATAGGGTGATGTATTTGTTTAATGTTGCAAGATCTGCCGTTTCCGCTAATTAAATTTAAGAAAACATGATCAAAAAAAACAACTCAAAATCTAACCTTTGAAGACGTGAAAAAAAGGCTCAAACAATTTTTTTGTTATGAGAACTTTTAACTCAGTTGGCTGTCCTTTAACACCACCCAAGAGATGGTCCGACACTTTTGAATCACTCTGTATTTAGTATTATTTAGTAAGACTATACTTACTAATTTTTAACACTTTATACAAACTTCATTAAATTAATTTTTCATAAATAGAACCTTAATAATAATTTGAGTTTTGGTTAATTAAGTATTTTTTCTAATGTTTGTGTTTACAAATCAATTTTTGGCAAATACAGGGTGCGCCAGCACTCGCGCCCCAGAGAAAATTTTCAAGTAAGGTAAGATACCAGAAACAGGGAAAAAATGTTAAAAAAATTCTATCTGTCAAAAAATTTTGACATTTATGTTTTGACATCTGACATTTTTTTATGTCTATTTAATGATACTGATGATCTTGTATATGTTTTTTTACAATTATTTAGTAAAGGTACAAAAATTTTGCCAATAAAAGCCACAAATAACATTGAACAGAGTTACAATTTAGGATACAGCTTCCTTGCTTCTTCTTTTAATAGCCTATAGCAAAAAAACTTGGAAAATAATTTTTCCAACAGTAATAAATAGAGTCAAAGTGCAAACTTCAAACCCTCATAACTTCGAAATTTTTATAGATATTTTTTTTAACATTTTTTGCATGTTCCTGGTATCTTACCTTTATGGCATTTTTCTCTGGGGCGCGAATTCTGGTATAGTAGTATATACCTATACTATATGTTGTAATTATTAAATTTACTATTATATTACTATGTACTTTAAAACGTTATTGTACAAGATTATGAAAATGAAGGCACATATGATTGTTTTCACGACATAAGTAACGTTATTATAAAAAGTAGGATTTGGTATTTTGAATGCTTAACATACATGAAAAAAGTCCAAAACAATTTTAAACATTTATAGAACAAAACTTCAGTTTCTAATTATATTTTAATTAACTAATCACTAAGGTATTAATATAATTCCTGACCTACTCGTATTTTAAAATTGATTTATTCAGTTTGAACATTATTAATGCAAATTAATTTTAGTAGACGTTTTGTATAAAATATCAACCACCCATATTATTACTTAAAAACATTAATTAAAACAGTGTAATAAATAAAGCCGCATTGATTTGAAACATTATATGTATTTCATTTACCTAAAAAGTAATTTTAACGTAATGTGTATTACCTTTTTTGTTTATATTAGCAAAAAACTGGATAAAAACTGTTAAATAATTTTGGAGGAAAATTTTAATGAATTAATAGAATGAGAATTTTTTAATGATTAAAAATTGCAAAGTACGTGAGATAAAGTTTCTGCTAAAGCATTGAACTCACCAGCTGCGCATTCAGCAAAACAGAAAAAAATCACAATTACGGTGATTTTAGCGAGTTTGATAGGTAAAGGTGACATCCTCATTTGTTTGTGGCACATAATTCACAAAAATGAATTTCGAACGAAACAAAACTATCAACTTGTTGCGCTTGTTGGTGTATCTGTTAGCGCAAGAGGACTGGCTCGTAAACTCTGCTTGCTTTTCATGACACCATCGCTTTTATACAGGAGATTTGATCCGCCTCCCGCCAACGATTATACTGCCTCCACCCTATGATGGGTACTTTTGATTTTTGCCAGGACGTGATTCTCAGACTTGCACATTTTAATCAGATTCTATGACTGTTTGTTTGTCGTAAATGGTATTTTTCTAGCTTAATCAGTTGGTTTCTGTTTGTTTACTTATACTTCTTTACAATTGAATTTTTTCTCAACCCCGAGCAGGAATGTTGTAAAATACAAGTACGAGAATAAAAGTTTTATTTAACTTGTATTTGAATATACAAATTTATAAACGGAGTGTTTTTTACATTACTTTTTAATTTCACTTTTCTTCATGTTAAAAATGATCATCTAAAAACCTTTTCACTGGCTGAAAATACGTAATTTCTAACCTTTTAACTTGTTTTGTGTATTAGATAAAATTATTAAATACACCACATTTGGGAGATATGATACAATAATTAGGTTTTGCCTAGAATTAGAAGTTGTGAACATACTCGTAGGTGCTAGATGCTCTCGTAAACTGAAAAGGAAATGCAAATTTGCTCGAATTAGTTCATATTAATGGTTAAAATGGTTATTTTTTGACAAAGAACTGTATAATTTGTGAAAATATACAGGCTGTTCCGTTTTTATTGTTACAAATTTAAGCAGGTGATAGAATGATCAGTTTTAAGATAAAAGTTTCCTATGAACATGTATCAAAAAATATTAAATAAGGGAGCTAAATCTCCTGAAAGGGTACATCTTTTAATGAATTTTTCCAATATTTCAGCAACTATTGTAGTTAAAATTACAAAAGTTTGTACAACTGATAACCTTTATACACCCAAACGAATTCAAAGATAAAATGTCGAAATTTTTATTCAGGGGCGTCAAAAACTAGGGAGGGTTAGGGTAAAAGTACCCTAACTATTTTGGCTGTTGGTTTTACCACTTTCAGCCACAAAATTCTAAATTTCATAGTTTTTTACAAAAAGAGGTTTCTTGGCTTTTTCGATACAACTTTTTGAGTAAAATCAGTTTACAATTTGTCTTTCGACAACCGATCTTTGAATTCGTTCAGGTGTTAGCTATCAGCTGTACCAACTTTTATAATTTTATCTATTCTGGAATACTAGAAAAACCCCATTAAAAAACGCATCTCTTTCAGGGTGTGTAACTCGTTTATGCAACATTTTTTGATACATGTTCATAAGAAACTTTTGTCTTAAAATTGAATATTTTATCACCTGTTTAAATTTATAACAATAAAAACGGAACATCCTGTATATTTTGTACAAATTAATAAGTATTTATTATTATAATATTTTAATTTAAAGGTCGTTGACAATAATGTTTATTTTGTACTCAATGTAAAAAAGTGCTTTTATCAACTACTTTCAGTAGATAAAGTAGTCTTTAATCGTCTAGTAAAATAAAGTAATTTTTATCTACTGTTTATATTTTATCAATTAATTTCAGTGGATAAAGTGGCCTTTTATCGTCTAGTGAAATAAAGTAATTTTTATCTACTGTTTATTCTGGTAGGTGAGTACAAAATAAAACGAAATATTATACACGACGATAAAGATTGTTTATCTACTCGTGAAAAAAAGTCCACTCGTGACCTTGTCACTCGTAAACTTAATCTTTTCACTCGTAGATAAACAATTTCTTTATTGTCTTGTATAATAAATAAGTATTTTTGTTCAGATTTGTATCATTTTTTTAATCCAGAAAATCGATAGGGGGACAATTGCTACTAAAAATAGGGATCTTCACCGATTATATTCGACTTACGAGATACTTTTTGTGTCACATGTGAGACTTGAGACTTGAAAGCCAGACTTCTTTATACTCTGTTAAAATGTAAAATTGTGTGGCGGTTTTATAAACAATATTTTAACATAATATAAAATGTTAATACTATGAGAAACATTCCTTTGGAACTATAAAGATCAAAATATTCATTTGCGCTTTGCACTTTGTTTTACAATTAAAAAAGATTTTTTAACAACTAAAACTTGTGTTGTTAAAAACTTAGGCTAATTGAAAGTTTGAAAATAGTTATTTTGTATATTATTGGATCCGAAAACGACAGATAGAGGGACTTTAGTTCGAGACTTTTGTAAGTCGTCTAAAGGCCATAGACATCACATAATGCCCATGGTTTATACAACGTTTTATGTTTTACCTGAAATTAAAAAAAATAATTTCACAATAATATTAAAATAAATATCACAAATTATCAAGTGACACAGTATCCTGGGAAACAATGAAAATTCTTGAATAGTATATTCTGTAACAAGTGGGAAAGTCGAGGGCGAGTTCGACGGTTCCCCGAGTGGAATATGCCACTCTAAACGAGTTCCAGATTATAGTTTTTCTACGACCAAAATTTCAAAACAATTTGAACTCTATGCAAAAATTTATGACTGTCAAAATAGCGCCACCTGCGGCCAGTGTAACACGACTATGAGAATATTCTTGCACAGTGTTACTTACAGAATATGAGAATTCTGTAATTAAAAATCAACTAAGATTGTTATTTTATAAGAATCGTAGAAAAATTGCTTGTCCTCACACATTAAATTTTTGATAAAGACAAACTTGAAAATTGGACAAATTGAACTATATTTGATGCTGTTGTCAGAAGGAGATTCTAATTTGCATAGAACATTTTATCAATGATGAAACGGAAGTAGTTTTTATTTTTTATGTAAATCTTGTTCATATATTATTATTTATTTATTGTCGTCATGTATAATTATTTTAATGTACTACAAACGTTTTTTTTAAACAGAGGTCGAGGCTATTGATACTATTAACAGTTCTGCATAGGAAATAAAAATCGTAGGCCGAAAGAAGTATATAAATAGAAAAAGAACATAAATTTTTAATCCTATCTCAACAGGTGCTTGTAATCGTATTTTTTCTATCATTCTTATTCAAATCCCAGCAGTGTTGCGGCATTTATTGAGAAACATGGCAAAATGTCAATACAACCAAGATTTATGTAGAAATTTCACATCTTTTTTGTTTAAGTAATTTTATTGAAAGTATGCATATATCTCTTAGTGGTCAACGACGACTTATGAGTTTCTGGGGATCTACCCGTGAGATGATGTTAAACAGAATTTATTGTTATTTACTCGGAATTAACCAACCATTATGAAAATGTTTAAAAGCATTTTTTTGTCATTTAAGCCGAACATTTTTTTTTAATAATAATAAGAATGAACCTACTCGGTCTCAAAGTGATACTGGACGCGGATTCGGTAAAAAATTTCACAATAAAAGCTTTTTACGCCAAAGCATTCTTTATTCATGATTTATTTCAGTAAAAGGAGGGTTCTATTCAATGATTCCAATTTTGTTCTATAACTGCCCAAATTAAAAAACTCATACGACCACATGAGTTTAATTTAAAAAAAAAATATTTTATATGAACTAAAACAGAGGTTTTAAAAATAATTGAAAGCTAATACAGGGCCTTATCCCAAATAAGCCAAATTTAATAAAAATTCATCGATTATTATAAATTTACGTAAAAGTTGTTTGGAATATTTTTTATGCCTGAAAATAAACTAAAACTAATAGGAGAAATAAATTTGCATTAAAATTTAGTCCTCTTTAGCTCGTTCAACTATGAATAATATTCAACAGTCATTAAAGCTGTAAGGCAAACGTGCATTTCGTTTTAATTATCTATCTCTTGACACTTGTTAGCTTTGGTACTAGAAACAATACGTTTGTTACAATGTCCTTAGACAATAAAATAAATTTATGTCAAAAGTTTACAACGCGTTGTTTACGTTATAAAAATATGATTTGTATGTCGGGGAGTTTTTATAGTAGAAAATTAGAATTTAATTTTGTGTTTGCAAATTTGAAAGTCTATTAACATTTTAATATACCGAGTGTCTGGTTTCACACTGGATCATAGGAATTTAATAGGGTGTTGTTTATTTTTGCTGATTCTTGCTGGCCAATACAACGTATTGTCAAAACATCAAATTATTGCGCTTCAAATGATATTCTAATTTTAAAATAGTAATTTGAAATTTACCAATTTGTCAAGGCATACAACGTTTTTTTTATGTTCGAGTTTGAAACCGAACATCCTGTGTAAAGAAACATAGGTGTATAATTTCAGGCAATTCGTTTTTCCTATTAAACACAGAAACATTCTCAATCGCTTTTGAGGTTTGTAATCAATGGGAACTATACTTTGATCAAAGTCAAATCGAAGTTTTTGCTCTTGTAATATACCAGAGTGAAAAAGAAAGCATTTGAAAATTGTCATTGCTACTGGTCATTAAAATAGCAGAATTTCCAGTGGATCGTTTTGTACATTTTTGCACCTTCGCTATAAAAACTTAGTAGTCTTAACACGAAGCTTCAGACAATTCATTTTTATTTGGATATCGGGTGTCGGTCTCAAACATAGGGAAGTAATGTTGAATACGATTTTTCAAGTATTTTTCCAATTTCTTTAATAATAAAGTGGACAGGTATCTAAGCAATCAAGAATTTAATTGCTTTTTAATAAAAACAACAAAAAGTAGTAAGTAATAAAGAAAAATCCAATAAGGTTGAACCATAGAAGCCTTTTCTGCATACTTATTTCACCTAATTATAAATTGGAAAATTGTATTTTAAAGTAAAAACACCATTTTTATTTTTATTTTTGAAATTATTTCACTCGAAATAAATTTATCTTTCGATGGGCACCATCACTTTACTTGTAGGTTGTATACTATACCGGGTGCGGCATCGGTTACGCACAGAAAATAAATTTCTACTTCTAGTTAAATAAAATTGTTAAATTTTTTTACACTTACCTGGGCATTGATAAGGTACATTTCGTAATTTTTCATTTACAAACAAAGCCAAAAAAAATTAAAAGTAATTTTCTCCCAAAAAGTTAATTTCTAATTTTTATACTCACCAACGCAGATTCACTTCCTGTAA